GATTAGTTTAAATTCAGTGGAGTTAAAATCTTATTCTCAAATTTTGCTGCATATTGTCAAAAAATCCATTTTTGTTTCGATGGCGTGTTGTAGAAACTTTTTGTATGAAGACGTAACTGAAGTGCCTAAATTCAAATTGAATAACACTTTTTCCTATAATACGGGTACAAGTGAAACTTTCATGAAAATCGTAAACGATTCACAACATCAAACAGGAATAGAAGAAGAAAATATAAATATTTGAACATTCAACAACTACAGTTTGGATAAACCAACGATATCGACAATGTAAACTGGTCATATACCAGCCAGCAAATGGTGAAATCCATTCCTTCTTTGTTTTACTAGACTTCATAAAATCTCTTAGTAAAAACAAAAATATACAATGAGTAGTCGAGGACTTTTTGACACATAATGTAATTCCATTTTTATTACTTTGAACGGAATATCACCTATATTCAAATATAACTGATGAACTATTCTACAAATGTTTTGAGAAACAGAACCACAATTATTTATGATGTCGATAACTACTCTTTCAAGACGTTAATTTTAGTTATATGGGTCACATCATCTCTCACATGCTACACAAAAGGTAATTGTAAACAAACTTATATTTCTACAAGGTGTTCCACTTTTGTGAATAGAATTATCTATCGCAAAACAAATTAAAAAATCCACAGATCTGCTTCACCCGGTTTATCTGGATCATTTCTTTGCACAAAGGGATTTCTTAAAGAGTAATCTCGTTTCACAGTACAAGTCCGCTGATGTTCAGTGGTAAGTTTACGGAATTACAAAGTAAATATTCAGGGTTTGATTTCTCGCGGTTGACACAATAGATAACCCAAAGTCACTTTGCGCTAAAACAACCACACTAAACACTTCACAGTGTAAAAAAAAATGTTACATGATAAAATTAGGAAGTGAATTTCTTTATAAAAGTGAAAACTTGAAAACCATTTACAAAGCAACTCGAAAATTAAATGCTCACTTTCATTTCTTTATGCGAGGATCATAATATGTATTACTTGTTTTACTGATGGTATTGGCGAAGTTACGGCGTTAAACTTTTAATGGACCACAGCTGTCTGAATTTGGTGGTGGACAACGTTTGGGCTTCTATGCTGAGGTCTTCATCAGCAGGTGAAGGATCTTGTACAGAGACTGGTACGTAGTACCCACAATACTTCAAACAGGTGCGGTCCATTGAAGATTTAGTGTTAAATGTGCATCAGTTTTTAGAATCCTATGTTGGCCCCATTTCTTTTGAAACATTTCACTAATATTTGGATTCAACTTGTTAGACAACAGCTCTAGTTATCAAAATTAAGTAAAATAACAACCAGTTTCCAAGATTTGGGTCATAAAATATTTTGAAGGGTAACTGTGATATTACTAACAATTTTTAACTTAAATAAAACATAATAATAAAATAATATTTATTAATCGAACTTGGTTCTATGCATATTTCGCGAATGAAACTACAAAGCACACTTACAGCATATGTTGAACTGCATGAAACTGAGAAAGAAAACATTACTATTTGAGCATCATGAACGAAGATTCTTTCATGGTATTTGGAGGGGAGGAAATTAGGACAGAAAAAATAAAACAAAGAAGTTTTTGGACACGTTATGAAAGACTTATAAAGGACATTAATTACAATATAGGTGTTACGTAAAAATAATAATTAGTTGATAAGTTTGAGCGAACTATAGATGTGTTTTTAGTTTAGGTCGTTTTGAATACTTATTGAATTATATCTGACTTTTATCCTTCAAGAAGTATCATAATTTATTCTCAAGGTGTTTCTAATTATAATTTACATTATTATTAATAATATATCATAGGCTCATAGTAGGATATAAACTCATTAATAGAAAATAAAATATCCCTCCAAATAAAAATTTCAACTGTGCTTGTACGTCGAAAGCGTAGATTTAATATCGTAAATTAACAAGAATTTTCAAGCTGAATATAATCTAATGCACACATAGGCTAAACTGCTAGGTCTGAGCCTTCAAGATTCATGTATAACCACCCCTAATTTTGAACGACTGATCAGAGGGAAGCCAGCTGGCAAGCGAGTGCCGCAACAGGGGCTTTATCTGGCTCTTTAAACCTAACAACGAGATTAGTTGCCACTTTTATAAAGCATTCATAGTTCCAAGTGCGTAGCACGTTCAGATGCAACGAGGCTTGAATCTCGGAACCCCTGTTCAGCAGCCCCCCACGCTCACCACTAGTCCACGGCCAACCCAATATCATAAATACAGGCTGAGAAGTCTTTAGTTTCTCGATCGTTCAGGCTGGTACAAGCTTAGCAAGCTATCTTGATCGTAATATTTCATACTTCTTGCGTGCTCAGCATTACTGTGTCGTTTCTAACGATTTTTAAATTGGAAAATTAATAATACCATAGTCTATATTGTTCTTTCTCTAGAAGCATTAAATTCTGTAATGGTTTACCTGGAAAATATAAATTATGGTTCATGAAAACTAGTTCTCACTTCACTTGTATGTCGATTTCTTGAAAAAAAAATGCATGTTACATTAACTGTACTATTTCATATCTAATATTTTAACAAATTATTTAACATTCTAATGTCAAATAATAGCATACAGATGAATTTTCTTAACAAAAGTGATCACGTCTAATGATATCAATTAACCCCATTAATCTCCTACTTTAATACTGTGTAAACTGGATTTCATAATCGCCATATTCTGTTCACTGAGAAGTCGGGCGTGAACAAATGGTTAGCGTGATTGGTCTTCGAATCAGAGAGTTCATGGTTTACTTCTCTTGCTGCGTAAACGCGCTCCGTCAATTTGAGTTACAGTTAAGTCCCACTCTTCGATCAGACAAGACTAGTTCAAGAGTTGGTGGTGAGTGTTGTTAACTTGCTGTTCGTCTGCTGTTCTTGATCGGTTTTAGGCTGCTTCCCCTCG